ATGAAGTGGGCAACTTGGACTCTTACGAAAATCAAAGGGCGCACTCAGCAGTAGCAAGCCTCCTGGGAACCAGGGTCAGTGGGGAAGGTCTGAGGTTCAACAACAGAACAGAGGTTCCGAAACGGCCAGAGGACCTGAGCAGATGTTGCACCCAAGAGGATGGACAAATGTGCAGTGAGCACAGGGAGACACGCGTGTCTCTGGTCATTGAGGAAAGGCAGGTCACTAGTGAGATCCACCTCGTGGCCCTCAGGCTGAGCCATCAAAAGGAAGTGGTGGCAAAGATGGAGAACCAAGGCTGAGGCCTTGCACGTTGTCGGGCCCCAGAGGCCCAGATGACCCAGCCATGCCTTGGAGCATGTCATCAAAATAATCGAAAGCAGGGTCTCAGAGAGCTGTCCATTCCCCCCATGTCCACCACAGGGTTGTTCACAATAGTAAAAGATGGAAAGCACCTGTGTGTCCATGTTAAGGCATGGCCTGTGTGTGGAGTCCTGTCCGGCCTGAGAGCAAGGGGGTCCTGGCGCGTGCAGCATGAGCCCCCTCAACTGGAGGAGTGCAGGTGAGTCCACCTGCAGGTGGCCCAAAGCCTCTGACTGAGAGGTGGCAGGCAGGAAGGACGGGACCCAGGGCAGGACCCTGTGCAGAGAATCCTTAGGCAGCCACTGGCACCAAGGGAGCTTAGCAGACGCTTGTGCTTCTGCACACCAGCAAAAAGTGTCCAACTGGCAAGTGTCAAGAGGCTGAGGCAGGAGGATCGAGAGTTCAAAGCCAGCCTCGTCAATGGCAAGGCGCTAAGCAACTCAGTGAGACCCTGTCTCTAAAATACAAAATAGGGCTGGGATGGGGCTCAGAGGTCCAGTGCCCCTGAGATAAATCCCCAGTACCAAAATCAAAACAAAAGAAACAAAACACCAATTGCCACAGTGTTGGGAGTGCGAGGTGTTCCCAGCAAGTCCAGGATGTATAACCTGTGTGCAGTAGAAGCCACAAACGTCCTGCATCACTCCATGTGGGTGAGATGCCAGTCCTTCTGAAGTCAGCGCCTCAGTGCTAGCCCAGCAGACCCAAAGAGTGCAGGGAAGGAGAGAGGGTGTAGGGGCCCGCCCAGGGGGAGGGCAGAGCAGCCAGCCTCGGGTGACCGGTCCACGGGCGGGATCTAGGTCACCCTGGGGGATCTGGGCTGGTTCTTGAAAACCTACTCTGAGGTGTGAGGTGGGCGAGAAGACGCCCCCATCACCAGAGACTCACACAGAGATGATGCAGAACACTTGCCCAGGCTCCCGCAGTCCCCGTCAAAACCATCTGACTTTTTTACACAATTCTGCCTCCCAGGAGTTAAGCAGAAAGCAGACCTCCCTGGACCCATACAGGCAGCTGCGGCCCGCACCCGCACCCGCACCGCAGCTGCCCAGTGGCCCCATGGGCGGGTCTGCAGGGCACAGCACGGTCGCCCAGCACCCACACAGGGACACAAACCCATCCTGCAAAAGGCGCAGTCCCACTGGGCACTGCCATTTTGCCTGGACCTGCCAACAGCTGATTTTATGTGCCGACTTTACCCAATGATGACATTCTGACCCCTTCCCATCTGTCTCTGCCTGTTGACACCCACAGCACACAGGCTTCCAGTAGTCTCTGGCCTCAGGGGTGCGTCCCCTTCCCTTGTGTCTTTCCCTGGCCTGGGCTTGCCTCTCTGCAGTGCTAGTCCCACGGTCTGGGTGCCCACGAGTGTCAGAACTCTGATGCCCTGAGACTTCGCTGCCCCTGGCCAGAGACCAAGCCCCAGGGAGGGCGCCTGGTAAGGGACTCCCAGCTCCCTCTGGCAGAGTGGCTGCCCCTGGTGCACACCCTCCACGGCGCACAGCTGCCCACCTGGGGTTGGGCCACTGGATCGGGTGTGCAGGGTGTCCATGGCTGTCATCCATCGAGATTCCTGGGCAGTGGGCCTTTGTGCCATTTGTGTCTCTTGGTAAAGAGGGCAGATATTGTGCCACTTTAAAACCACGACTTGTTTGCTTCCTGCGTGTTGAGTTTCAAGAGTTCTGAGTATCCTGGACAAGAGCCCTTCTCCAGATGTGTCTCATCTCACAGATATTTTCTCCCAGTCCGTGTTTCTTCTTGAGTTGACTGGTTTTTAAATGCTTTTCTGCTGTCTGGGGAGGGGCCAGGACCTTGCACCCGTCAGGCTGCATCTCCAGCTCCTCAATCGATTGATTTTTGAGAAAGAACAAAAGCAAATCAGGGAGAAAGGATCGTCTTCAAAAACTGGTGCTAGGACGATTGGATATTCATATGTGGGAGAAATTTGATCTATATTGCCCACCATATAGAAATCAACTCAGATCACTGATATAAAATGTGATCCACCAAGCTTATTCAGGAAGTTGAGTTGGGCAGATTTTGTTAATCTAACACTAAGTGTGTGGTCCATGAGCAAAGAAATGAGTCAACTGGACTTCAACAAAACGAAGCCCTTCTCTCCAAAAGGCAGCTCCAAGGGAGCGCAGAGAGCCCTGGGCAACTCCCCTGTGCTGAAAGGCTCCTGTTCAGAACACTGCAGAGAGCAGGAGATGGCTGTCACCAGAGGTCACTGCCTTCACAACGCAGGGTGTGCAGGAACCATTATGACCTGAGAGGTCGTGAAGACGGAGCCGCCAGTGGAGCTTCACAGAGGTCCTGCTTCAGGACAGCGGGAGACCAGGTGTGCACACGAGGCACTGAGGCACCGTGAGGCTGGGGGCAGTCAGCCACAGCGGGCCAGCCTCCCATGGAAGCCCTGTTTCCTCCCCAGCACTTCAAACAAAAGCACTGTTACCAGGGACTGTGGCCTCACTGTGATCCCAGCAAGGTCTGGAAGGAGACCAGCCTCAGCAACTTTGTGAGACCCTGTCTCAAACTAAAATAAAAAGGGCTGGGGATGTGGCTCCATGGTAGAGTACTTGCCTAGTACATGGGAAGTCCTGGGATCCATCCCCGTACAGCAAAGTGAATAAACAAAACAGTGTAAAATCCTGTTGGGTCACAGCCTCATTTCCAGAAGACGCATCTTGGCCAGGTATTTCAGGTCTGCCTCGGGTCCTGAGGGGCCAGACATCTGCAGTGCTGTCAGAGCAATCACAAACTTACGCCCCTCTAGGGGGACATATTCGTAGAAACACAAAGCAAATCTTTGGATATTGTGCTAATTGGATGATGTTAAAATTTTTTAAATAAAAAGTGGGAAAAAGAAAAAAGAATTAAATGTACCCATAAGAACAACTAAAAGGAAAAATAGGCTGGAAATCCTTGTAAAGTTAAAAATGCACTGTATTTTGAGGGTCCATTTCTAGGACCCTCACATACCCAACAGAAATGCTCTAGGGTGTGGAGAAAGGTGCAGGGACGCAGCCGCGCTGTGGACAGCCAGGCAACCACAGCCAGGTGGCCACTGACCCGCACTGCTCAGCAAAAACTGCCCTGGAGGCCCGGGGATGTGGCTCAAGGGGTAGCGCGCTCGCCTGGCATGCGTGCGGCCCGGGTTCGATCCTCAGCACCACATACAAAGATGTTGTGTCTCCCGAAAACTAAAAAATAAATATTAAAATTCTCTCTCTCCCTCCCACCTCTCTCTCTTAAAAAAAAAACAAAAAACAAAAAAAAACCTGCCCTGGAGACTTCCGGTCCCCTCAGCAGCATGCCAGCCGTGTCCCTGTACCAATGAGCCTGTCATGATCTGCCTTTTCTCTTCCGTGGCATGGGCTAGGCAGTGTTTTCTCAAGGCACCAAGCACCAGGTACCCAAGAATAAAGATATAAAACTTTTCCAAAAAATAGGCAATGTTTTGCAGAGAAAAATCTGACAAAGGGCTTGTATCCAGAAGACACAAAGAACGCTCACAACTAAATAAGACCAAAAAAAATGACAAAATATTTGAAAATACTTCATTTAAAAAGACGAGAATGGCCAATACACACAAGAAATATTTACCTTCATTAGTCATCAGAGAAATGCAAATTAAAATCACAAGTGCTACCACACACCTGTTCGAATGGCTCAAATTTTAAAAACTGACACCACCAAGTTTGGGCATAATGCAGAACAAGTGGGGCTCTCCCAACACTGCGGGTAGGAGCTCAAAACTTTTCTTAAATGTGGATGCACAGTACATGTGTGCCCGGTTGTTGCCACACTGCGATCTGTGCCCCGGTGCAGGCGTCCTCTTCTGGCTCAGCCGTCCCACTGCCAGAGACTGAGCCCCGGAGAACACCCGCAGGTCTCTCTGCCAGCACCAGTGATTACTTGGGCAGCAGGTGCACCTTTTCAACAGACACTCGGATGAAAGAAGCCAAAGCTCAGGGAGTTCACGTACACGATATTCTAGAAGAGACGGCTCCGGTGGGTGGCGGGCCACCTGGGTGCGATCACCAAAGCACCAACTTCAAGTGCGAGGGCGACGTGGCATAAGTGAACGATCTCAGGCTAGGCAAGGGGACAAGCTGCAGCCCGGCTGGGTGATGGGAATGAAATGTGGATAAACCTTTGCAGTGTGCACCACTCTCGGAACCCAACCGAGGACGTGAGCCCCCGGACATGAACACCCAGAGGCCACCCTGGCCGGCTCAGAGGTGCGTGGCTGAGGCCCAGTGCCACGCTGGCCTGCTTCACCTGCGTGGGGATGCCCGGGCGCCCAGGGTGCAGGAAGGAACGTGCAGGTTCCAAAATAAGCAACAGCTGGAAAATCCTTCAGGTCCCTAAGCCGGGCAAGCGACCCTGCCAAGCTGAGGGTGCGGGCAGGAGCAGGTGGCTGGCCCCAGGGAGGACTCGGTGAAGTCCACTCGGAATGCATGGGGATGCGGAGCGGGTGGACACCCCCAGATGTCTGGTCCACTTAATAAAAGCCTACAGAGGGATCAAACAAACGAACACACGGCTCACAAACCAGCCCTTGAACCCACAGAAAGGGCATTCGCTCCACTGGCGCAGGAAACAAGGACAGAGGCCAAGCACTGGCCCTGCGAGGAGCAGAGAGAAGCACCCTGTGGAGGGATCTGGCGAGGCCAGCAGGACTGGCCTGTCTGTCCGACCCACGTGCCCACGTCCAGGATGTACCCTGGAGATGCACGGTAGGAAAATACAACTGCTCCTGGTTACTCGCCGTCACCAAATCTGTATTTTATTGAATATTGGAAATCACTTAAATGCCCCTTCGGAGATGGGTCGGACGCGTAGCCACAGCACATCTACGTCCCCGAGTCCCTGTGGCCCTGGGAAGCAGTGAGCCGGCTCGCAGCCGGACGCAGCACTTTCCAGGAGATTCCGCCGGTGGAAAGACCAGAGGGCAAATGCGCACAGAGGCTCCTGTAAGAAGGGGCCCGGGCCTGCCCACCTCCAGAATGCGCGCTGGAACTTCCTGTAAGAAAGGGTGCCCGAACCTGCCCTCCGCAGGAGTGCGCTCTGGAGCTTCGTGTCATGGTCTACACGGCCACGAGGAGGAAGGGCGGTGGGACTGCAGGGGAAGAGTGGCCCCACACAACCCCACACAGGCCGGGAGCAGCCAACCCAGGCACCGCATTACCCCTTGTAGTCGTGGGTGGGAGTGAAGAACCCTCACAGAGCTCACCTTTTTATGGTGGGTTTGTTTTGTGCAATTGTGTGACAAGGCAATTCTCAAAACTATTTAATGTCTTCTCATTGAGCAAAGCAGTCAATGTGTGGATACCGCTGGAAGGCAGGATTCTCACCGTGGAACAGAGTTGGGTAGAGGGAGCCCAGAACCCCATGGGCTTGTTGTGAACAGCTCGCGCTCAGCAGACTCAGGAAACACGTCTTCATGCCCGTGCACCTGCACGTACACGTGCAGTGCCTGCAGTGTGCACGTGAGCTCACAGCACTGACCTGTCCTCTGACACCCTGTGCCTGGCAGTATCCAGTATCTGCATCAGACCCCCCCCAACGCAGTGCTAGACAGGGTGGCCTCCAGAAGCAACTGCAAATGAGAGACTGCCTAAGAAAACATCTGAGACGTTCATTCTCATTCTTTTCAACATGTTTACCTCCTGAAATCACCTGAATGCATGTGAGGGCTTGTGAGCATAGAAGCTGCAGGGGCGGGAGGGCAGGTGCTGAGGCCCTGGCCATGGGCAGCACATGCACCTGGGGGCAGTGCACAGTGAGGGCCACCACCAGCCAGCTGCTGGGACGGTCTTGCCTGGCCTGCTATCCCCTCTTGGTTGTGAGGGTGCCCAGATGATGAGAAGGGGTCCCCAGGGCCACCAGTGCCTGTGGCAGCAGCTCTGAGGCCCTTGTCCTGTCAAGCTGTGTGCCCCAGGAATGGTGGTGGACAGGTTCCAGCCCTGCCTGCCCTGGGGGCAGTGTCGGGGGCACGCTGTCACCTAACCCCTTTGGACGGCTGGACAACTCTCTCCAAAAGCACCAGCCTGGTCTGCAGGTTGACATCAAAGAGAGGCAGTCTGGTCAGGTTCAGACTCACACCACTGGTGCCCAGGATGCGGGCCAGGACACGGTGTGTGTCCCTGTAGAGGGCCAGGTGGCTGGGGGCTGCCTCCAGGAGGAGGTGCGTGTAGGCCAGCATGTCTGCCGCCCCGGGCTGCAGGTCCTCCCTCTTGTCGTATCTGGGGAAGAAGATCGGGCCGTCCCCATGTACACCCATCCCCACCTGCGCCACTTGACAGCCCTCCCCACAGCCCTGGGTGCCCCATGGGGACCTGGAGGTGGCCTCAAAGAGGAGCACTTCCAGAATCATACCTCCAAGCACTGTTGACTTGCAAGAACCGCGACACACCTGTCTGGGCGGCGGCTGTGTCAATGTGCAGGAGGACATCTAGGGGGACCACACTGGGTGAGGACCACGCGGGCCCACAGGCGGGCCCATGGCACCCCGGCACCCACCTGTCCAGGGGGGCACCAGCTCGTGCAGCCGCTGCATGGCGATGCCACCAGGGTAGTTGAAGTGGGAAACGCGCAGGCACACGGCAGCATAGGCGGCATTCACCACCAGGTGTCCCGCCACAAGCAGGGTCCCCGCCTTGTAGAGCCAAGACTTCCTGTAATTATTCAGCCTGAAAAAGGAATGACTGAGTTCCACAAGGAGAGTGCCCAGCAACGTCCAGGACAACCTGCTCCCACTCGGTCAGTCACCGAGGACATGCAGCCCCCTCGCATAGGTGGTCACAGGCCCCTTCAGGAGGCCTTTCCACCCGAGATGCCAGTTTAAAACCTAAACTCTAAGAACAACGCATGCTCTTAAGGATTCCCAAGTCACTGCGGGGCCTGGGGGCTTCTGCTTCTGCTGTGAACAGGTAGAAGCAAACAGACCCAGGCACCAGGCCTCAGGCCCCGGGGAGGGGAGGACTGGCACCATTCCACCCACCTCCAGGGAAACTGACAACAGGCAGCATGCGAAAACCACCAGCCAGGCCTTGCTCCCCGGATGACGAGAAGGGGTCCCCAGGGCCACCAGTGCCTGTGGCAGCAGCTCTGAGGCCCTTGTCCTGTCAAGCTGTGGGCCCCAGGAATGGTGGTGGGCAGGTCCCAGCCCTGCCTGCTGTGATGACCCCTTCTCATCACAGTCCCCTGCTGAGGGCCCCCTGCATGACCCCTCTGCAAGAATGGGTTCTTGTCCTGTCCTATCCCTGAGAGCTGCTGACCATGAGCTTCAAGCCACCCCACCTGTGACTGTGACCTTCCACCCCTCCGAGCGCTGGCCAGCAATCTTCCTTACAGGCCTTGCTACCCACCTGTCCCAGTCTAAATTCCCAACAGTGTCATCCCCATGTTTGGCTTCCACCTTCAAGACATGAACCCACGTCCCCAGCTGTGCTCTCCTCAGTCTGGGCCTGGCCTTACCCAGATGCCCAGGCTTTTGCTGCCCTGGGGCTGACCAGTGACTAGAGTTAGGTGCTGCCGCGCTGCATGGCCTATGGAAGAGAGCCACGACTCTGGCTCATTACAGAAAGCTCACCAAGGTCAAGGTCGTGGCTGGCCTCTCCTCCACCTGGGCCAACTAAGATGCAGAGTTTCAGCTTATGTGACTTCGCCTACCCCACTCCTGCATGGGACTTGAGCAAGCAAGCTCTGGAGTGGCCCTGGCCTAGGGGCCTGCGGGAGGGCTTCCGCCCTGCTGGGGATTCCTGTTTGCCATGGCTCATGCATTGGAAAGCCTGCAGTGTACAGCCTGACCCTACCCTGGCCATCCAGGACCATCAGACAGACATCCAGCAGGACTAGGGCCCAGCCCCACCTTACACACTCCCGTGGCCACGGTGGTGCAGAAGCTGGCTCCTATCTGGACAAGCCAGTGTGCCCACCAGGTGCCCTCACCGCATGGGCCAGCCCCAGGGCAGGCAGCAAAGCACAGCTACGGACAGGGACCAGCCAGCAGGGTACAGTGCTGGGGGCCATCGCACCCAGCCCCCAGGCTTCACAACATGTCCCCTCTGTCAGTGCCCACCAGGGAGCAAGCTCTCCTGCCAAGCAGCAGTGCAGTAGTGCAGGCCCTGGCTTCATGCCCAGCACCTCAGGGACAGGGAAGGGAGCAGCAGCAGGAGGGCGGGACTCACAGGTAGGCACAGCCTCTGGCAGCCACCACGTTGAGCACGGGGAAGGTGTAGATGATGAAGCGCAGCTCCTTGTGCGGGAGCAGGGAGTAGGACGCCACGAAGCCCAGCGCCGGCAGAGCCAGCACCCGCGCCCGCCTGTCCATCACGCCCAGGGGCACGAAGAGAAGGCTGCAGCCCAGGCCCCGGGGAAGGGCCGAGTAGAAGTACCACAGCAGTGGGGAGGTCTTCCGGCCAGGGTTAAGGAAGTGTGGGTGAGAGGGCCACGTCCACTTAGCGGAACCCCAGCTGGGCAGCAGGGTCGAGGCTCACCGGCCTCCTATCTACACAGCCTGCTAAACATGGTTGGGACCCTTGTGGGACCCATCAGGGCCAATATCTCAGAAAAGGCCAGGGTCAGCCTGCACCTCAGAAACAGCAGAGGGACCCCAGGCACAGCTGAGGGGGTCCCTCCTCTTGCCCCGTCCTCACTTTAACAACAGAGCACATAGGTGCCGTGGGCACTGGGGAGCCACAACCACCCACGTGTGTCTGGGACCCTCCACAGTCACCACTTCTCTAGGGTGGGTCACCACCAGGACTCGGGGAGGCCAGGGACGCGCCACAGGGAGGTGGGTGCTCCCAGGGTGGGTACAGGGAGCCAGGGAGGACAGTCCTCAACACCCACCCTGCCTGCAGAGGCACACAGGATACGCCCCAGTTGGAACTTTTGTTCAGGACAGTGTTGTACCAGAGCACCTTTCCTTCCGGCCACACAAGGTAGCGCCAGAAACAGGAGTCCACAGTGACCGTCAGTCCTGGTAGAAACAAAGTTTCCCAGTGAGGAGCATGGCCACCTGTCACACGCAAGCCCTGGAGTCCTCCCCAGGGGCAGTCAGCCCCTACAGAGTGGCCTGCTGGCCACAGACACCACCGTCTGCTTCACAGGAAAGCTTCTGACCATGCCGGGGACACCACTTCCTCAACAAGAGCTTCCCAGAGCTGCAGGTGAGCTTCCCCTCCCCACCCAAGGCCTTCCACCCATCTGGGCAGCTCCCAGGACAGAGGGGCAGGCAGAGGATCCCAGGCAGCAGCAGAGAGCGATCATGGAGCCACCACAGAGAACAGCCTGCAGGTAGCTGGACTAAGACCCCTGAGGACTCTAAAGTCAAGGTAACTCTGTTTAACATTTCTTAAAACCCAAATTTCCGTCCTTGTGAAATAAAACGAAATCCACCTGAAACCAGCCTGCAAGGCCAACCTACCCAGACAGAGCGCGCCCGCGGGGACGGCGTGCTGCAGCAGTCTGGCCACGGAGACCCTTCTGTGGTACAGCGCCAGCAGCAGCATGAGACCCAGCAGTAGGCACAGCTCAGCCCGGAAGACGATGGTCGCAAAGGCCGAGAGCCAGATGAAGAGGGTCCACCGGTGCTGTAGCCAGGCCGTGAGGGCCGGCAGGACTGCAAGACAAGGACACCCGTCACAGTCCGCCCAGTTCAGAACACACCCACGCCACGAGGGAGGCTCATCCTATCGTAAGTCACAACCGCCACGCAGCGGGTGCATCTGAACCCAGCCCTGAGAACAGAGGGGCCTGGCTTCGATGGCGGGTGGTGTTTCTGAGGAGCTCAGCTCGGGGCAGGGTCTTCCGGCAGAGCCTGTGACTACATACCCACAGCCAGGGCCAGCACATTGGGGAGCGTCCGCGAGCAGTAAAACATCAAGTGGAACTGTGTAGCCGTCACCCAGCAGAACATGGTGGCCACCGTGGCCCCAAACTGTCGTCTCACTTCTTTTTGTAATGCCCAGAGTCCCCAAATCACGCTGAGCCCGAGGACTCCTCTGACTAGACAGACAGACAGACAGCAATATCCATGACTGAAGGGGACAGTGAAGCACCCTGTCCTTGGCACTTCTGTGGGGAACTGCACTGCCTGGCCCTAGTTCTGCCCTGGGCCCCGCGAGCTGGCCAGGGGCCAGGAATGGAACAGTGTCCATGGGCAGGATGCCGATGGGAGCTGCCCAGAGCCAGTGGGCTTGTGGAGGTGGCCAGGACAGGGCTAGCAGTTACCATATGTTCTTGGAGTAGACAGACCTCATGGCTGTCTCGAGAGGCCGAGCTGGTGTCTGTGGGGTGGGCCTGCCCCGGCACCAGGCACTTCCCTTGCATGCTTCCGGCTCTCTGGAACTGATGTCCACGAGGAGGCAGGTCCAGCTGCCGTTCTAGCACTGAGATGCCACTGGCGGCTTCCACGTGGCACTCTGTGAAGTTCCTTTATTTCCTTTGAGTCTGTGTCTGAGGCCCTTCACCTGTACCTGGGGCTACCTCTGCCCTCTCTTCCTAGGTGTCTAACCATCTCTGAGTGCCCAAGACAGGGCTGGCAGACAGTGACAGTTTATGATACAGCCCCAGTCCCAGGGGACATTATTGTCATCCTGTGAGGAGTCATTCTCCAGACTGCCTTAGTGCCGTCAGGAAGGAAGACGGCAGCCATGCAGAGGGCAGCCAGGCCTTGCTCGGTGCCCAGGCGTCTCTCCACTGCCCAGGATACAGAGGCCTCTAGGGAAAGTGCACCCCAACCTGGAAGTGCAGATTTCCTCCGCAGACTGTGGCCCAACCCTCTCCACCTGCCCCGGCCCCAAGACTTGTGCACAGCAGGCATAACTAGCTAGCTGCCCATGTGGCGGTCAACCTCTACGTCCTGATCAGTCCTTCCAAGAAGCAGAGCTGCACTTTAAAAGGTCTCCATGCAGGCTGCATAAATGGGCTGTGAGAATAACACGTCTGAGTGAGTGGGAAAACTTAAGTATGATCGGTATTAGATGTGATAAAAATGTACTCAAGAGGAAAAATGATGATCACTGCCTAAAAAGAATCAGGCATTGGGCCTGGGTTATGGCTCAGTGGCAGAGTGCTTGCCTCAAAAGCATGAGGCACTGGGTTTGATCCTCAGCACCACATAAAAATAAATATATTAGGGCTGGGGATGTGGCTCAAGCAGTAGCGAGCTCGCCTGGCATGTGTGCGGCCCGGGTTTGATCCTCAGCACCACACACCAACAAAGATGTTGTATCCGCCAAAAACTAAAAAATAAATATTAAAACAAATCTCTCTCTCTCTCTCTCCCTTTAAAATAAATAAATAAATATATATATTAGTTAAAAAAAAAAAAAAGAATCATGTGGTGGAACAATGTACACAGAAGGTTCTCAGTCTAGTTTGGGGAAAAAACACAGGTAACAAAGTGCAGTTAGCAGCAACACACTCTGGTGCTCCACGGAACATGTGGCACCAAAAGGTGACTGCTAGCAGCTTACAGGAGACTGAGAACAAGGAGAGCCTCAGGCTTTCCCACAGAAACGGCCTTGGCCCAGGAGCCAGAAATGCTGACTGCCCAGACGTGGCCACTGCACACTGCCTGTGTGTGCTGTGCCCCAAACATCAGCACACGCATCTGTGTCGCCACACATCTCACGGACACAGGGAAGTCCCGGAGACCTGTACATAGCCAGCACAGTGGCCCCCAAGAACGTGAGGCTGTCTGCCTACTCCCCAAAACAGGCCCACTGTCCTGCAGCAAGGACTCTTTGCATTGCAGGCTCTCCCACTGAGGAGGGAGTCCCGGGCCTCACAGTCACCTGCCCTCCCACACTGGCCCTGTGGAGGCACAGAGCATGCCCACCCATCCCTGGTCTGTCTGCAAGGCCATGCTCTGAGCCTCAGCCCAAAGTGACCAAGAGCAGTCAGGTACAGGCACACCCCTATGATCCCAGCGGCTCAGGGGGCTGAGGCAGAAGGACCCCAAGTTTGAGGCCAGCCTCAGCAACTCAGTAAGACCTTGATGCAAACTGAAAAATAAGGACTGAGATGTAGCTCCATGGTAAAGCACCCCACCCCTGGGTTCAATCCCCAGAGGCAAAAAATAAATTTTTAAAAAGTAAAAATAAAAGCAACTGAGGGCTTTTGACATTTGGAGATGTAAGGAGAACATTCCCAAATGAGAAGCAACCAGCCCCACAGAGACCATGTGCTGCTATCACAGTCCACCCTCACCTGTCAGCTGGGAATAAAACCTGGACACTTCCAACAGTGAAAGCACATAGACCAGGGGGCTGGAGACTGCCGCCATCAGCAGAGGCCCGAGGAACGTCCTGGGGACAACACCGGGAAATTCATGGTGGTCATACTGCAAGAGAGGGGGCAGATGGCACAGCGGCCAGGCAGGGAGCACACTGAGGTCCTCCCCAAAGGCACTAGCAGCCTCACCTTGTCCATGTCCAGTCGGTGGTACAGCAGGTCGTGTGTGGCCTGCAGGTTGAAGCTCTCCTCCACCTTGGTGTAGGGACAGGTGAAGAGGTGGACGGCCGCGACTGCAACCAGCAGCCCCAGCAGCAGCAGAGGCCGCCGGCTGAGCGACCTCTTTCCAGCCATGTGGGGCTTTAGACTTCACGTGCCTGGGACAGACAACAAACTGTCAGCAGCCTACCCTGAACATTCTGAAAGGACAAGTAGACCCTGGAGCTTCAGAAACCATGCCTGAGGTCACGTTTGTGAGATCTGGGGGAGGCAGGCAGGAATGCTGTGAAATCTGGAAGTTAAAGGAGAATCCTGCATAAGAAGCTGTCTGTCCCAACATGCTTCGAGTGCTGTTGGGAGGCCTACTGCAGAACCTGCAGTCTGCCCTGGGAAACAGGTGAACCAGCCAGGAGAGACAGACAGGCGCTGGCAGGGTAGGGGCTGGGGGAGGCCCAAATCCCAAAGATGAGAAAGGAACAACCACAGGGGTGCAGCAGGCTGGACGCAGCACAGCTGCTGGGGACATGGGGTTCAGGGTGCTACAGAGCTCCACCCACCAGAACAGTGGGATGGGACTATGGATGTCCACCCTGCTGTGCTCTGAACTTCCCAGGGGCCTGGAGCAACACAGGCTTTCCCCAGGTGGCACCACACTGGCCATGGCCCTGAATGTGTGCCATTGACACTGCCTGCCAGCACTCATCCAGTCCTAAAGATGGCTTCAGGGACCTATGACATGGAGCTGCTGAGAATCCATGAGACCACCCAGTTGCACCCCTGGAAGACCTAGGAAGAGGAAGGGAAAATGCTTCCTCATGTTTCTGGGTTATTTAAAGAAGGTTTGATTTTATCCAGTGAAATCCAGAAAAGCCAGAAGCAAAGGGAGATCATGCCACGGGACTTACCATTTATTAACACCACTGCTTGATTAGATGGTTAAGAAGCTGGTGCACTCCAGAGAAAGCAGTGGGGGCGTCCTTGAGGAAGGGGCATCTACAGATCAGAAGGAGCAGAGACCATGTGGTGGGGAGTGGGGAAAAAGCAGAAAGAGACTTTAGTGGTTTTAGAAAAACCAAAATGGTACAGAAAAAATACAAAAATTTGGTACCAACCTGGACACGAAGAGCCACACCTGCAGGCTGAGGCACGAAGATTCCAAGTTCAAGGCCACACCGGGTGACTCAGTGAGATTCTGTCCCCAAATAAAAATTCTAAAAAGGAATGGAGTGTAGTCAGAGAGGGAGTGCTCCTGATTTAATCACCAGCACTGGACATGCACACACACCATTTCAGTACCAAAGAGATCTCAAGGCCAGTGAGAACCACTGTCCACAGTTGTCCCCCTCTTTTCAACTACCAGAGGCCAGGGTTTTCTGCTGTTTTTCCCAACCAGGGTCGCGTCACAATCAAAAACAGAGGCTGGCCGTCGAGGAGGAGCTCCCGTGCTGGGGCTCCCCGCGTGCGCGGCCGGCAGGCCTCCGACACAGCAGCAGGAGCCGGCACTCAACAGCTCGGCCGAAGAAGGCATGTGGCACCCAGCCTCCGGCGGGCCACGTCTGCAGTGGGGACGAGCTGGGCCTGACTCCCGGGCGACAGAGGGGACGCCCTCCCTCCCTCCCGCCGCCCGCGGAACAGGGAAACCGGAAGCCGACACGCACGCCAAGGGCAGCTGCGCGGGGCGTGCAGCTTGGCAGGGACCCTGACCCAGCGTCCCAGCCGTCACTGCTAGAGGTCAACTCCCAAGTGAAGGTCCAGTCCCCAGGTGAGGGCCGCCCCCAGGTGAGAGACCCGGTCCTCACGTAGAATTGGCGGCTGTCACGCGCAGAAACGCCCGAGGAACGCTGCGACCAACGCAGGCTAGAAGTCTCCTTCACTCTCCCCGAGTTCCCAGCCTCGTTGGCGCGCACTGACCCCTTCTCACCGCCCGCACCGTCCCTCGGAGCTTGACGGCCAGGACTGCCCTCAGCCGGAAGCCGGGCGGCGGAAACAGCGGAGGCCAGGCCCTTTCCCGAATCTAACATGGCCGCCGTGTCTCCGACTGCCGCCACAGCGGAGCGCCCACCGGCCCACAGTAAAGATGGCCTCCACCGGCGGCACGAGAGGGGCGGGGCGCGAGTGCCGCTTCCGATTTCGCGGCCCCGCCCCTCCCGCGGGTAGCTGACCCGGGGCCTTCCCATTGGTCACCGCTCGTGGCGAGCCCTGATTGGGCCACATCAGGCTGGGACAGATCCAGCCGGCCAATGGAGGTGTGCGGACTTCGGGATGGGCGGGGCCTCGGCGGCGCCGTCAAGTAGCCCCGGGAACGGCCGGCAAGCTGGCCGGGTGGGCGGAGGCCCAGCGCTCGGCCGCGGTTTGCCGCCTGTCGCCCGCCCGCCATGCGTCCACCGCCCCGCACCGCGCTTGGGTTTCTGCTGCTGCTGCTGCTGCCGCCCACTCCGGACGCAGCTCGGAAGCTGACGCCCTGCCAGCAGTGCCGGGCACTGGTGGACAAGTTCAACCAGGTGGGCCGGGGCGTCCTGGGGCGGTGGGGCCGGGGCAGTGGGAGTCCTGGGAACGGGGCAGGGTCGCGGAGACTGCAAAGCTATGGACGTGAGGTCCCTGCTGTGCGAATCAGTGTCACCGGGGACCGCAAGATTTGGGTCTTGGTGGGGAGTGCCCCCCTCGGGGGGGGGGTCCCAGATGCAGAGTAGTCTAGCCCGTCCACCTCCTCAGGGGATGGCCAACACGGCTAAGAAGAACTTCGGTGGCGGCAACACAGCCTGGGAAGAGAAGACGCTGTCCAAATACGAATTCAGGTTGGCTCCCAAGCACCACCAGGGTTGTTGGAGGGCCCTATCTTGAAAGCCCAGGGTCTGTCTTTGGAACCTGCGATGAGGACAGATACACAGAAGGATCCCTTAGATGCCATCACCTGCCCTTGCTCTCCTCTGCCTCCGGCCTGGATCTAACGTGATGGCCCCTCACTGGCCTGGCTGCTCCAACCCTGCCCCCTGACCCCTGTGGTCCATTCTCCTTACATATAGGGGATGACCTTTTGAAAATGTTAACTGAACACCAGCCTCCTGGAATGCTCCTGCCTGATTTACAAATTGAACCTCTTCATAGTTTGCATCTGTAGGTAAAAAACAGGTTTAGAGGGCTTGCTACTCCAGGATTCACGTGTCCACTTGCCCCTTGGAACGTCTCCCACAGGATAAGGGAAGAAGTGTTCTTTATCCCTGTCAGGTGGGATAAATCCCCTTCCCCTCTGCCCAGAGCCTGGTACCTGACCACCCCAGGGTATGGGCTGCTGTGCTCTGTCCATGTGTTGGTTTGAGGTCTGCTTCACTAGAGGGGCTGTGGTCCCAGCCTGGCCACAGTTAGGGCTCAGGACTTGTCTGAGTGAGTAAGCCAGTGCCCCCTGATGCTGATGGTGTTTGTGTTTCAGTGAGATCCGGCTCCTGGAGATCTTGGAAGGCCTGTGTGAGAGCAGCGACTTTGAGTGCAACCAGATGGTGGAGCAACAGGAGGAGCGCCTGGAGGCCTGGTGGCTGCAGCTGTGAGTGTGTGGCCTGGTGGCACCTGTGCAGTCACCAGACATACCCAGAAGTTGCTGATGTCCCCATTGTCCCATCTCCTGTTTTAGTCATATGTTACCATTTTTTATTACCAGAGTATGACTCTCACAGCCAGGAAGCTAGCTAGAAATTCCTATGCACACCTAACTCTTGTCCCCCAGAGGGGCCTCGGGAGCTCATAGAGTGCCCTGTACAATGCCCCCTGCCCTCCGGGTCTCTTCCCATACTCAGTAGCAGTCTGAAAATATTACATGGAAAATCCAGAAAAGAGCAATTCAGTCATTTTATTAAGTTCTTGTTACAGTATTTTAAAAATTATTGTCATTGCTAATCTTTCACTGTGTCTGATTACAAATTGAACCTCATCATAGGTTTGCATCTGTAGATAAAAAAAAACACATTTAGAGGGCTTGGTACTCCAGGGTTCACGTGTCCACCTGCCCCTTGGAACATCTCCCACAGGATAAGGGAAGCAAGTGTTCTTTGATGCTGCATTCAGTGGACATTTTTCAAACCATTAGGAAGAAGAAGTACCCTGACCTGTTCGAGTGGTTCTGTGTGCAGACACTGAAAGTGTGCTGTTCTCCAGGCACCTATGGGCCAACCTGCAGTGGTATGTTCTTGGGGAAATTTCAAGTCTACATTATTCCTCTAGTTTCTTTCTGGTTCCCAAGTGTTTAAAAGCCCACAGGGGTCCTGGGCTGCTTTAGCTGCATGAGCTGGCGTGTGGGACCCTGCCTCCTGTGTGCAGCAGGGACCCTCCAACACCTGCCCTGGGGGAGCAGCATCTCTGCTTAGCTTCAGAGAAGTTCTCCCTCGGACTGCAGAACTCTGAGTCAGTTCCAGTGCTCTTTTGGTGCAAGGATCACAGACTCAGTAGCCCCCACCCTGCAGAGGACTGTGGCTGGGTTGTCCACTGGCCCTGATGTGAAGCACTCGTTGAAATTGGAGCTGCAATTTACTGTTGGGTTATAGAAGCCAGTCATGTTAGTCAGGCTGGGTTAGGTGGCAGTTCACGGTCACACCCTGCCTCCAGTGCTACAGCCACTTCCACCCGTCTCTCCCACTTTCCCTGGTCGCGTGCTGGATGCTCATGCCTCCCGGGGGTCCCACCACCTATGCACAGGCAACCTTGAATCTTCCCAAAGTCAGGCTTTGTAATGAAACCAGGAGATGTGGCTTGTTCCTGTGCAGGTAATCCAGCATCAGCCCTGTCAGCCCCTGGAGGCTGGTGTTTCCAGGTGCCATGAGCAAACTTGCAGGCTTATCTATTAGCAGGAATGTGCAGGGCTTAGATTTTAGGGAGAAATTCAAACACTCTTTGGTTAAAAACACTCTTTGGTTAAAAAGGGGTGTCCTGGAGTTTTCCCACTAGCTGCCCCTGGGTGTGTGCTGAGTATGGGTTTTTGTCATTTCCCCCCCCCAGCATGCCAGGGGGGCTCTGAGAGGCCCTGCAGCGGAAATGGCCACTGCAACGGAGATGGCAGCAGACAGGGGGATGGGTCCTGTCAGTGCCACATTGGATACCAGGGACCGCTCTGCAAGGACTGTGTGAGCAGCTACTTCAGCTCACTGAGGAATGAGACCCACAGCATCTGCACAGGTAGGCCCAGTGCCAGTGTGCTGCCCAGCCCACCTGACAGTGAGGCTGTGGGAAGCCCTCTGCAGAAGCTGTGGAGGTGGGAACGGGGGCAGCCAGGGACTCCTTGGCCCCAGGTGTCCAGGGGAGCTTAGGAGACCTGAAGATGTGACCCTTAAGAGAGACTCTTAAGCCAAGTGCAGTGCAGCATGCCTAAAATCCCAGCCGCTTTGGAGGCTGAGGCAGGAGGATCATGAGTTCAAATCCAGCCTCAGCAAAAGCAAAGTGCTAAGGAACTCAGCGAGACCCTGTCTCTAAATAAAACACAAAATTGGGCTGGGGATGTGGCTCAGTGGTAAGCAATTACCTAGCATGTGTGAGGCACTGGGTTTGATCCTCAGCATCCCATAAAAATAAATAAATAAATAAAGTTATCATGTCCATCAACAACTAAAAGAAATTCAAAAGAAAAAAAGAAACAGCCCTGAGCCAAGCCAGGGGTGCACCTCTGTAATCCCAGCAGTTTGGTAAGCTCAGGCAGGAAGATCACAAGTTGAAAGCCAGCCTCAGCAGCTTAGCAAGGCCCTGAACAACTTAGTGACACTCTGTCACAAAAGAGCTGGGGCTGGGGCTCAATGGTAAAGCAGCCTGGGTTCAATCCCCAGTACCAAAGAAACACCACTGAACAGCCCCCAGAAGGAAAAGCTACTCACGCCTGCTGTGAGCTGTTCTGGGAAGGACTTGAAGTCTCTCGTTGAATGGCAGGTGTCATCCCTGTGGTAGGCGCCCTTGGTTCTTGGGCTTGGCACTTAGTGCGGCACACAGGATGTGCTCATGGCCACTCAGCGATGTGGAGGGAGCAGACACGCTGAGCCTTGCAGGAGTTGGCTGCACAGGAACTAGAAGGACTCTTGGAGGCCATTCGGGTGCCTGACCCCTGCCTGGCCCCTGTGCAGCTCCCTTCCTGGGGATGGGTCCTGCTAACCCTGGCTTGGCCACAGCTCCAGGGCTGGGCAGGCTTCCCCAGGGGTCCTCTCTTGAGGGAGCCTCCAGAGCTGCCCGTCAGGTCACTCAGGGCAGTGCGGCCTTGGCCAGTGTGTGCCCTGGCTCACACGCACAGTGCTGGTTGCAAAGCCGCCCTCCCTCCCGCAGCCCAGCTCTCCCCATCAGCGCCCTTGCCCAGGGGAGCTGTTCCTGGACTTCTGCTCAGGGTGCCTCTCGGGGACAGGTGAGGCCAGGCCTCGGATCCCTGCACCTGTCTTCCTCTCTCAGTGTTGGGGGTGTGCCCACCCAGCCCGTTGGCTCCGGAGTTCGGGTGGCTGTCCTCTCCAGGCCTGGAAACCTGGAGTCCTGGAGGGCCGCGGAGCCTGCAGTCTGCTTTCCTCCCGAAGTCTGTAAATACCGGAACCACATGAGCAGATCCCCCTGCTGACCCACTCTTGCTTGCCTGGAACTTTTGTTCTCCT